GGGGGAAAATTTTTAAAATAAAAACTTTTCCAAAATTTAAAAAAAAAAAAAAAAAAACCTGGGCCTGGGTGCTCACGGCAGCTTTACTCGTAGTTGCCCAAACTCGGAAGCCGCCCACGTGACCTCCAGTAGGTGGTACCCAGACATGGGGTGTGACTGAGCACTTGGGGAGAAGGAGCTCTCGGGCCATGAAAAGGCCTGGAGGGACCTTAATCGCGTCTGGCTAAGTGAAAAAAGCCAATCTGAACAGGCTACGTACCTGTGATCCCAGCCACAGAACATTCTGGAACATGCAAAACAACAGAGATATTAAAGAGACCAGTGGTTGCCAGGGCGGGGAGCATGAATAGGCGGGGCGGGGCAATTTTCAGGGCAGGGAAACCGCTCTGTGTGATGCTGATGGGGGACGCATGCCCTTGTACATTCGCCCAAACCCACAGACGGCACAACAAACACCAAGAGGGAACCCCCCTTCTTAGCTACGATGTGTCCACACGGCTTCATCCTTTGCAACAAGCGTAGCCCATTAGAGCAAAACGTTAACAATAGGGCAAATGCTGGGGGTGTTGGGATGGGGGGCGGGGGTCCACGGCACTCTGCACTCGATTTTTATGTAAAATTTAACTGCTCTAAAAAAATAGCCCAGCCCAGCCCAGCCGCGTGGCTCAGTGATTGAGCATCGATCTAGGAACCAGGAGGTCAAGGTTCCATTCCCCAACCGGTCAGGGCACAGGCCCGGGTTTCGGGCTCCATCCCCAGTGTGGGGCGTGCGGGGGGGCAGCCGACCCATGGTTCTCTCTCCTCATTGATGTTTCCCTCTCCCTCTCCCTCTCTCTCTAAAAGTTAATAAAAATAAATAAATAGGATATTCTATTAATAAAAAGACCAGAACTCCGCACCTGGCAAGGAGAGGTTAGCTGGTGTGGTGGCGGGACGGGCTCTGTCTGTGGCCCGCTGGCTTTGGGACGGCCAGGCATCGCCCAGGCAGCGGGGACCAGGGACGTGCCAATGGGGCCCACG